TACAGACACATATGTCACCATGTATATCTATATATACATCCAATAAAGACCACCTGTATATGATATAACCTTAAATCCATAAACAAAAAAAAAAAAAACCAGAGTCTCGTAACGAAAACATTCCTGCAGTTTTCACAAGTAATGTCATCATCATCATCAGCCACCGATACTAAGCCGTCGTTGCCGGCGGTTGAGTCAGTCACGTGTGACACGTGCGGTTTCGCCGAGGAGTGTACTCCGGCTTACATCCACCGTGTAAAGGAACGTCACAAGGGACACTGGCTTTGTGGGCTTTGCGCTGAGGCGGTCAAGGACGAGGTGGTTCGATCTCCGACAAGAATCTCTGTCGAGGAAGCTCTCCGTCGTCACACGACGTTTTGCCACCGGTTCCGTTCTTGGAGTCCCGACGAGGAAGAAGATCCGATTTCCGTCATTAGTAGGATTCTACGACGGAGCCTCGACGGTTCTGAACCACGGAGAACCACCAAGAGGACGAGCTCGAGCGGTTCTTTGCCGGGAATCGACGGAGTGGAGTCACGACGGTCGCTTCTCCGATCTGGGAGCTGTTTCCCGTCTCTTTCTACTTGATTAATCTTTTTAGTTTGTATATTTGTTTTTTTTTCTTCTTAATTTTCTTTAATTTTTGTTTAAGATTGTTATTTTGCATTTAGTTACATTTTATAAGGCGAAGAAAGGGTTGGAATCCGAGGAGTAATTTCCTATGACGTCAACCTTTCTTTATAAGCGAGTTTAATAAAATGGTTTTAAATGAGCAAAGCTCATTATTGAGATGATGAGAGTTTTACTTGAGTAACAATATACAGAATAGAATATCATCAAATCTAATTTCCTAACTAATGCAATCACAATAGGATAATAGGATATTTACAAATCTCTGAAATGATTAAGGAAATATTTACGATATATCTTCTAGATTCTTCTCTATCGTTCTAAGTTATTACGCGATTTATAATTTCCAGTGCTTATTTTTCTAATTTCATTTTGTTAATTTGCGGTGCTTAATGTAATTAGTGGTGACACAACGATTATTTTAGAGATATTCATAAGTAATCTACGGACTTTAAATATTAAAAATCTCTCCTTTTGCTTAATCATAGTAAAGATGATTAGTATGAATTTCAATATCTTAAACGTCAAACCAAGTTATATATATGCCCCATTTGATTCGATGGAGTTTGATTGGTTGATCTGACTTGGCTATGTCATTGATTTTTATGGAGTTCATGTAGAAAAGTAACTATATATAAGAGAGAACAAACTTCGGAAAATAACAAAGGGATAAAATGTTTTCAATATGATCCATGCATTCTATTAATGTCATAAACTTCAAGATTGCATACTTATTTCTTCAATTTATGTTTTTTTTATAAGATTGGAAATGAATTACATTAGTCTCTATAAATCACAAACCTTTTTTACGCTGAAACAATTTGTGATTTTTTTTTGCTTCAGTATACTAATGCATATCAGTATATCAGTGTGTGTGTGTATATAGACAGTTGAAAAAAGATCACTAGACCACATACCATTTCTCAAATCAGTACCATAGGGCAGTAGCCTGTCTCACATAAACTCATATTTATGTGTGTCGATGCATGTTACTAAGTTTTGATGTCTTTAAAGTTGGATTCAGTGTGCATTTTATCAGGGCCGGTTCTAACATGGTGGTGCAAGTGGTGCATTTGCACCATGATCAACTGATTTTTTCGATTTTTTACATAGGTTTTACTGCACATTTTTAAAATATATGGATTTAAAAAAAAATTATTAAAGTTTAGAGTGTTTTTTGTAATTTTTGGCAATTTTTGCACTATGTTTGTTTCGAGATTGGGCCGGCCTGCATTTTATATTAGTCATTGCATTATTTGTATGGCATCCGCTTAATGAGCCCTAAGAATAGACTAAAATCTAGTATAATAGTAGCTAGTAGATCCAGTTAAAAAGTAAATGCATGTTCTATGTAAACACATGTGAATGCATGGCACATGCGGATATGTCCATGTTTGGTATGAATCACAAGTGTGATTTGTTATGTTTTCACATCACTTCCCTATTTGTGTGGCGTCGCTATGGGGTCCTTCCTTCCTCTTCACTTGGCATTATGTTTCTCTATTTGTTTCTTAATTCTTTTTAATATAAAGACAATTTCATGTTTTTTTGTGTTGTGTTAATTTTCTTGTCATCTTTTTTGTTGTTTGGGCTATAATATATCTCGAGCTCCTTTCACGAATATCTTTGAGTATACCCACCAAGATTTGTAGCTACCCTTTCCATAAAATATTATATCCCTTTAATTAATAAAAAAGGATGTGACGACCAAAACTAGTATTTGACAAAGTTTTGGTATAGATAGTAACACAAATGCTAGTGGGGAACATATTATTGGGATATTCAAGGTATTCAAATTTGCTGAACTGGATGTATAATTGTTTGGATTTGGATCTCTAAGTTTTCGGTGATTTGATTTTTGGATGCTACTTCTAGCTAGATTCAATTTAATACTATAATATACAAATATTTTCCCATATTGTTGTATATTTAACAATCGAAATCAAAATTTGATGCGTCGGAGAGTCCAAAATAATATAAAAATACATATCAATATTATAAATGGATTTATCTATTAATATTATAATATATAATTGTATAAACCGACTTATATATGTCGGTTCATTATATTATTTTATAATTATTGTTTGCCTATATAAAGCACTAATAGTGAAAAAGTGTGGTAAGAAGAAGTAATAAAATTCATACA